GTTCGTATGCCTCTTCTTGATTGGTTTTGAAACAACCCCTGGCCCGCACTATCAGGGGTTCACTGACTCCGCTGTAGCCCCGGTTGTTGACTTTTTATCTTCTCACTTTGGTGGGAATACAATTCAGCCACGAGAAGGCAGTGAATAGGGGGCTTCCTCAGTAGAAGCTATTTTGGACATTTTATTGCATTGGAGAATTTCACGAAAGGCGATGGAGAGGTGACCAGTTGCATCTCGAGACTACCAGGTTTGAGCGCACTGAGGATTTCGGAAGATCAAGAACTTAAATAATATGGTACAAAATATTAATCCCAACACACCACTCAGCTTTTTAGTTCGAGAATGCATGTGTCGCTAACCCTTGCACAGTCAAGCGCTACAGTGATAGGGATAACCGCGTTTTGCGGCGAACTAGTTTGTTATATCTCACAACGCATGCAGAGATCGAGCGCCAGGCGAAAACACACCAAGTTCCCCCTCCCCGGTATCACTACTGATCGTCCGTTTATTTGATGCTCCTATGCTCCCTATATATCTGTGTTGCCCAGCTGAGACTTTACATATTGGGGCTGACAGATTCTCTTCGCCTCTTCTAAAACGGTTTCGTCGTGATAAAGAAAAGGCTTACAGGACTGGAAGGCGCAGTGCTGTCAAACATCTACCATTATTGATCAAAATAGAAATACAGCTCCCAAATCGGATAAATATAGAAACTCTTATGGGAAACCAGAGCTGCCACGATATGCGGTCTGCTTTGAAGCAGCTCTGTGGATCACGCAACAGATCTTTTCCGGATGTTGAGGAGTTAAGCTGTCAGTGCACAAATGCTACCATAACGAATTCAACACCATCTTTATTCACATCTACTGGGGAGAACCAATCTATCAGCCTGGTGGAAGTCCTGAATGTACTCAAGTCCTTTAAGTCTAACAAGGCACATGGTCCTGATTCATTCCAGCTGAAAGAGTGTGCTGAACAACTTGCTTCACCTATTTCCGAGTTGTTCAATTTTTGTATTTCATTTGGAAGCATCTCTGATTGTTGGAGAGCTGCTCGGATAACCCCAATTCCCAAAACGGGATCTTCCAAANGTTCAATTTTTGTATTTCATTTGGAAGCATCTCTGATTGTTGGAGAGCTGCTCGGATAACCCCAATTCCCAAAACGGGATCTTCCAAATATCGACCGATTGCCTGCACATCAGCATTATTGAAAGATTCGTTCTTAACAGGCTGACCCTTTTATCTGTCACCTATGACCCTATTCAGTTTGCTTACAAACATTCGCTTTCCACTCTTGATGCTGTTGCTCACGTTGTTCATTCCGTTTCATCCTTATTGGATAAAGGGGCTGGCATCGTCCGTTTAACTTTTCTTGATTATGCAAATGCTTTCAGATCGCTTGACCGCGGCATTCTCATTCAACGTCTTTCTGGTTGGGGTCTGGCACCTAATTTACTGAATATACTAATTAATTACTTCACTCATCGGACGCAATTCACCTTGTGTACAGGTAAATCTTCCTCCCTGCTGGAAGTTAACTCTGGAGTTTTTCAGGGTGCTATTTTATCTCCATTTCTTTGTTCACTGTATATTAAGGACCTTCCCATCCTTCCCAATTTTATCGCCTGTAAATATGCTGATGACGTGGTGGTCGGGTGTCCCTGATTGTTTCAGTCAATTTCAAGTTTGTTTAAATAAAATTTTTATTTGGTCGACTCCCCAATCTTTAATGCTAAATGTAGAGAAATGTCTGGGTGTTTCTTTTAGCCTTAAAACAAACATACCTTATCAAATCACCTTGAGTAATCAGCCTGAACTTTCTGTTAGTAGTAATACCATCCCCAAAGCTAACTCTGGGAAATATCTTGGAGTTACTTTGTCACATAATCTTTCTTGGTCCAAACATGTTGCAAACATTTATATTAGGGTTCATAGGCTATCCTTCTACGCTGTTAGGCTTAAAAAGTTCGGCGTTCCCCCAGATATAATTCTCCAATTTGTGACTGTATGCATTCTTCCACATTGGTTGTGATGTTCCCCCGTATATTCTCCTGGTCTGAAGGAGAAAGACTTTATTCTCTTTTTCAAATATCTGAAAATTCTTTCTCGTTGCAGCGGCATTTCAAAGACCGTTTTGGTTGACTTTATTGTCAGCAAGCATTTTGATTCATGCGACAGATTTATCAACCATATCCTATCCAATGAAGAACATTGCCTGAACTCCCATCTCAATAAATCGGTGTCTCATCCGAGTACCCATTCCAAATTTTCGATTCTTTCTGCACGCACCACCACACACAAAAATAGCATGATCCCTTATTTTGCTCGTATCTTGGTCAATCGAGCAAATATTATTACTGAGTTGAACAATTATCTATCACATTAGGATTTCACCTAATCCGTTTGTTTTTCATTTAGTATTTGTATATTTCTTCTTTTTCAAATGCTTAACTTTTTCCTCAATGTAACTTGTCGAAACTGTTGAAAATTCATCCTACCGGGTGCATAAAGTTTTACCTGACTTGACTTGAAAGTTAACCACACAAACGGTCGTTTTTCTCTCGTTGTGACCCGGAGACGCGCCGGGCAACGTATAGCTTTGCGGACCGTGAACTTGATCATGAATGACTGAACAAGGAAGCCAGTCATTAGTTTGTCGTCACTTTCCTGATTAGATCGGAAATACAAACCACTAAAAACACAAAACGAAATCACATTTGAGAAATGGAATATTTACTGTCGAAGAGAAACTGTACACTCGTGAAACGGTCGCCATCGTCATCACGTGTGGATTCGGACATTGAATACAAAATACAGAACCGATCACACGAAAACAAGACGGGATTCTGTTTTAGGGATAGTAAGCGGAGACCGGAGGGGGTTAGGTGGAAATAAGCAAAATGATTGATTGTCCACATCATACGGCAACACAGCAGCCACAAACTGAATGTAAAAATTTCCTGAGTTGTTAGATGGACCGTAGTGAATGCGGTGTGGTCATTTTCGTTCGAGCCATTCAATCTCCTCGTCCGAATGTACGGTACTGATGGAGGAATCTCTGGACCGTTGTTTTGTTCGTTTCACTGATTCACCACGTNACAGTCACTTCACCAGATAATTTGGTTCGTTTATCTTTCTGCGACTTTTTTTTCTCTTTTTTGCTTCGTTTTTGGGACTTTCCGTGGTCCGATACGGGAGAACGAACTGAAATAGGCACGGTTTCCGTTTTCTTTGGGACAGTCTTATCTGATGATTTTGTTGTTATGATCGAAGGTGGTGGTGATGGTAATGGTGGTGAAGGTGCTGACGGTGGCGCGGTGACGCGTGCTACCGGTAATTTCGGAACCGATGTTTTGACGGACACATCCTTGTTTTTCGATTCAGACGAATAGGAAAGGAACGATTCACTAATTGCTGGTGGTCCGGGACGTTGTAATTCTTCCCAACCATCATGACCCCAACGATCTGAACCGGTTTGACGTTTGGCCACGCCTAACCAAAATTCCGGATCGTTTGAAGTGGCAGAAACTCCAGATGCGGATAATTCTAGTCGCCGTTTGGCTTCGCGTCGCAATTCCCGTTCGTAAGCATCCAACGCCTGTTGCAATTTGGCCGAATTCGAGCTGTGTTTCGGTCTGGAGCGGTGTCTATCCTCCTTGGCTTCCCGTTCCTTACGACGATGTACTATTTCCCG